CAACGGGCTCACGAGCTGCGGATACAACTTGTCCGTGGCTCGTTAAGCGATCCTGCGGCCAGACGAACACTGAACCAAGTCTATTCGCACATCGGTGACTATGTGGGGACGAAGGTGAACCGCGCCGCACATTGCTGGGGCAGAGGTCCTTCCGCGACCGCCGACCGCATCGCTGCGTTCTTCGGCGTAGGATCGCAGCGAGAAGCCAAGCTTGAAGCTTTGTGCGTTGAGGGCTGTCTGTGGTTAGAGGAGGAATGTTCCAGGCTCCTCGAATATGCGTTACCGTGGGTGAAATTTATTTCTATCAAAGTCCTGGTTGGATTGAAGATTCGTAGATGTGAAACGGCACAGACGCAGGTCGCGACGTTTAAATCTGTTGTCACGATTGCAACACGGTACCACAGGACGCGCGGGCTCTTCCTCAAATCCAAACACCTCAGACGCGCTGGAAATACGGAGGCGCTGATCTCTGCGGTTTGGGCCTGCGCGGATGACACGCAGCCTCACGAATGGAATTATTACTGCCGGTTTGCGGCAGCTTGTCTCTCTGAGCAGCACATTTCCCTAATTCTCGGGGATATTTCGCCCCGATTTTTGGGCTCTATCGACACGGAGAGCGGCGATCTTAGTGTCATTGAGCGCCTATTGATTGCGTCGGAATCCAGGTATGTTATTATCTTCCAGAATCATCGTTATTGATTCTGATTTTATGCAACAATGTGCGAGTTCCATCTCTGATGCTCTTGCCCTTCGATATTTGGTCGGAGTTCTGGAACTGCCCGCTTTCTGGCGAGAAAGTGGTGCAATACATATCACAGTATTCACCAAGATTTTAGACCGTGTAACGTGCCTTCTGAATGACCTCGGACTGGATTCTGGTGAGGATGAAAGCGAGACCAGGAATGGTGTCGTTTTTGATAACGAAGGAATCGATTCTATGGCCGGCGTGATACTGGTCGGCGTCTTGGACTGGCATACGGCGGACCCAGAACCACAATATTGGTATCGCAGCCTCACTGAGATCGTGCGATTACTGCATCTGTATGTCTTTACATTTCGCCTATTGAATTCGTGGTTTACATTTTTTTTTCCAGGCCCCGTGCTGAACGTCTTCTGCCTACGTCTTCGGCACTTGCTACTGGTCCCGATGTTGGGAATATTAGCACCTGATAAATTGAATATTTTGACCATGGCGTACGTCAGACTTAGGAATGGCGCTGGGATTGGAAATGTTGACGATCCATACGCAGAAACAATGTTGCTGAGTTCCGACAAACACGCCACGAGACTGATCGTGAGTAGTGAACTTGATTGTCCGCGTACATACATTCAACTTTGCTGGATACAGATTTCAGCTTGCGGAGCCTCGGCGATGAGTGGGTTGAAGACGTCGACGTTGAACCCACCATAGTTTACACAGAGGCCGTATCTTTTCGGTGGACGGTGATTGGCAGTGCACTTTTCAGTGCTCGCCGATGGTCCTCGAGTCCGCGTAAAAAGGTGCAGGCAAACAAGTCTTTATCTGCCCGCGCATGGGTTCCAGGGTGGTTACGCAGCTTTCTGCCGCGCCGTAATCGTCATGCAACACCTTCGGAAACAACCACGGAAGATATTTCAACAAGTCCTGATAGTGACCATCAACCTTTGAGTCCTGAGCCAGGGACTACATCCTCGGTGCACTCGGGTGAAGACGACTCGATAGGTATCAATGCTTCACCTACTCTTCTAGCCAAGAGGTCCCTAAGATAAGGATTTGACCCACGATCAACAGCACGTGATCAGATGCGATGGCTCCTTTCTCAGGTTCAAGGAGTGGTAAATAAATTTGCTTGTGAGGCTATCTGAGTAGCTAGAACATGTATAATGTTGCAGAGGGGGTTTGGAATTTTCGGTGGATGATTTCGTTTCGAAGTGAGTTATCACCGGATTTATGACCTAATTGGGCTTGGCTGGCATTTCACGCAGTAGGGCACTTGCAGGAGCTCATAACCTCTGGTAGTTGATAGACAAGTATATGGTACATATTTAAAGCATCTAGTATATAATACAATTTTTTCCACAGCCCAAAAACATGTCCATGGCCAAATGGTTGTTTATCGCGACCAAATATTTTTTTTGGGGGGGGGGGGCGGGGGTTATATCAGTGGTATAAATAATGAGATCAGCAACCTCTTGCTTCTAGCGCACTTGGAGGAAGAAATTTTAACTGGCGATCATCGGTCTTCGGTCTCTGAGCCTGGGTCTGCCAGGTCTTTGGTCCAGTCGGATGAGGAGGACTCGATGAGTTTCGGTAATTCAGTGATAGCTTCACGTTAGTCTCTCCTAGACAGACACTTCAACAATATTCGACGTCGTACCTCCGTTTGTTGAAGTCTGTTAGTAAGCGCGGGGGTCCGATCAGAGTAAAATCTTGTTACATAATCATCGGAGTTTGAATTTAACTTGTATTCTCGTCGTTTTGACAGCGCAAGGCATTTTTCTCATTTTGTTTCGGTGCAGATCCACTATTAGGGCATACTTGCACTGATCTGCATCCTAAGAATTTCTTGAAACATGCTTGAATTGATGTTGTAGCACATGGTTCAAGACGACGTGACGAGGATGTGACATTTACCCTTCAACTTGACTCTTTTACAGCAGCGTCAAATGGTACTCAAAAAATCCAAATAAATTTGGACACATGCAAAAGATTGCCATATTTCTGACTATGCTGTTTTCAGGTCACGCAACACGGAGCAATGGGCTCATTTCGTGATTATGTAATAAGCTTTTTACTCTGATCGGATGCCTGAGCTTAAAACAGGACTAGCTTCACGTTGGCTTCACACGAGTTTAATTCGCCCATCAATGCCCACGAGTCTGTTAGAGACGATCGCTCTGAGTGCCAGGCCCATCTGACGCCGGACTCTGCTTCGAACAACGACATGACTGGTTTCGTTTTTGACGTTGAATCCGGAGATCTTTGGGTGCCGGAAGTAACAACCGACAGCCAGGTGCGTCTCCGACTCGATTTTGGCATGACTAAGTATTTATTTGCACTCATATACTACGTGAATGCGCAGGCTGGCGAAGATATTCGACATACGATACCTAACGAACCAACTCCGGCGGTATCGTTGCCGAAGGTGTTTTTTGCAACGGACCCTGTTGAGTCTCAGCCTACCAAGACCCAGATCAGCTCGGAGAAGATCAGGCAGGCCAGCAACGGGAGACGTATGAAAGCCACTGCTCTCTTCCAGTGCCCACTTGAGACCTGTTCCTGTACTTTCACCGCGAGGCACAATCTTCTGAGTACGCAAAGCCCCTTTCCCTCTTTCTCCTCATCTTCTCTAATCATTCTTCCCTGCAGACCATATCAACTCGCACAACAAGTACCGCCCCCACCGCGGTATGTCCTTTACGACCCAAGGCGTCCTCAACCGTCACAAGAAACGCTGCATACACGCCCAGAGCACAAATACGCCCCAGTTTGAAGTGGACGGCGAAGGATTGGGGATGAAAATCAATATAGCCCTGGACTCGATCAGGGTGGGACCGGAGCAAGTGCATGCATGACGCACATATGTATCAGTTTGTTTGGAACTTACTACCTCGGACAATGCAATACCAATTCTTGGACCATGTTTAACCCCGGCCCGCTGTGAACAAGAAGAGGACTCATTTAGTAAATATTTAAAAATAATTTGACTACTTGGAGATGGCCTCACCTTGATCTGAACAACGAGCGTGCAGATTTGGTGAGCGTCTATTCTTTCCTTCTTCAGCCGGCACCGACTCGCCACCAGAAAATTTATCATGCTCTTACAATAATACTCTCAATAATGATTCGCCGGGGACCCAGTCACCTAGGAGTATTGGTGCTACCAGTGCCACTTATATTGATGATCTAGTTCTCTCTGACCTCCCCTAGATCAATAAAATGCACTTTGCTGCAGTGCTTGATTAGGTCCGCAAATTGGGATTTCGGATATTTTCTTTCTACGGGCTCGGACTTCCCTGTTTGAATCAAGGGCACTGCCCAAATTCCTTTGGTCGGTTACAGGTTCATTATTTCTATTTTCCGTGGCAAGGGCCTGGGCTGGCTTTTCTCTCTCGCAGCCAGTGATCGCTCTCGGATGCTGAATAAACCAAAATGTACCAACCTTCAACCCGGGCCGTCCTAGCCCGTCCTCGACCAAGACTATACATTGTAGAATGACGGTATTCCTGGAAACCAGGGTGAGCTCGATTCAAAATCGTTATTCATCGCCAGTTTTGTTCACCGTCGGTTTGTTACCACGCACTCAGGCTGAAACTCTGAGGATCTCAAGATTGTCAATGTGCTATCAAGTGCTGGTTTATAACAATCTGCCCCCTATTTGATGAGCGCTGTACCCTCATCGAGTACTAGTCCACGGCAAAGAATTGAACCAAGATCACGTGTTTCATGTTGCAAAAAATAATAATAATACAACTTGAAACGCACCATTGACACGTTCAATCTGCGCTTTTATTGACGATCTGGTGGGCAACCGAGAAGCGAGAGAGAAGAAACAGACACAATCTAGGACCCCACCTAAATTGAACCAGGGCCTCCCTGATAAAGAAGTTGTCTGGGTCGTGATTAGTATTAGAGGACCTGTTACCGCACGACGAGGCCGTCGTTAAAACTCAACCCCGGTCCGCTGTGAGGAAGAAGGATGATCCACAATTAAAAAAAAAAACCCCTAGCGAGTGGGCCATGGCCTCACCTTGATTCGAACAAGGAAGTTCCTCGGGAATGCGCGATCATCAATCATTATTAACAGAGAATGCGTTACCATTACACCATGAGGCCGTGATGGAACAGCTGACAATGAGAGACAACCTTCGTTTCATCATCCATGGTTTGAACCAAAATTACAAAGACTACTATGTCCGTGGTCCGAGTACAGGTAAATTGCGAGGAAAATACTAATGCGAACGTCGCGAGATTAATATTCTAAAGAACTCAGCACGACCGAAACAAAAAAAAGTTCAACTGGCACAGCCTTGATTCGAACAAGAGACTCACTCCTCCGAGGAATACTATTAAGGCAGTATTAGAGGATGTGTTACCACTACACCACGAGGGCGTCAAGTTAGTGGCAAGCAGCCGACCGTGGGAGATGACCTTCATTTCGTCATCTATAATTTGAACCAAAATCACAACGGCTACTATAGAGCCTGCAGTGTAGATTTCAGATACAAATGAGCACGCGAATGCAGAGAGTTAAATTCTGAAGAAGAACTCAGCGTAAGAAAAAAGAAAAAAGAAACAAAAACATTGAACAAGAATCCACATGGCCTCACCTTGAGTTGAACAAGGGACTTCCTCTGAAGAGTATTACTTCGGAAATATTGGAGGACGTGTTACCACTACACTATAAGGCCATGATGGATCTCGAAGTCATTGACAGGTAACCGACATTCCGCTATCGTGATTCTGAACCATAACACAGAAAAATATGAACAAACATCTCAAGAATGGCCTCGCCTTGATTCGAAAAAGGGACTTCCTCTGACGAAGACTTTAGGGATATTAGTAGAGGACATGTTACCACTACACGACGAGGCTACGACAGACTTTGCTGGCAAACAGCTGGCATTTCATCCTCTACAGTTTGAACGAAAATCACAAAGACCCTGCATCCGAGTCCAGTGTAAATTGCAAGGTAAAAATATGAGATTAATTTTCACAAAGAATTCACAGTCTCAACGGATTTCGGCAAACTCTATCGGTTGGTCTGTATTTTTCATCAAGTCCTAAGTCAGAAGTTGAAAGTCCAAGTCCAAAGTCCAAAGTCAGATTGAGCGAGTACTATTCCCACGCCTTCCTAATTCTGCTTCTTTCCATTTGTACAGATGTCTGAGGAAATTGGATGATGGTATGAAAGATTCTTTCCCCGACATATATGCAGATTTTTGAATACACCTGATGGCATAATTATTTTCCTTCTTTGACGCCAAACATAGAGCACTAGGGATCAGCTTGCTAACTAGTACTGCTGCGCTTCTTCTATGGTTTCAGCCCCGAAGACCAATCATATGCATCAACCCCTAAGAGCACACTAATCCTCTCTGTCCTTGTTCCCAATCCCGGTGATCCTTGGTTTAATTTCAATTTTGTCAAAAAGTGAGTACAATTATTGAGTGAGCTGCCTCATTTCTTTCAGGGTGTTGAAAAACCGACCATTTCAAGCCACTGAACTTTCGCTATCAAACGCTGACCATATGACGGACAATATCAGCTCCAAGATAGTTTAAAAAACAGTTTCGTGGTATCATATGATGTAGGGAACAACATTTTTGTCTCTAGTGCGTAAAGGTCCAGATAGGGGCGGCAGTTCCCTTTTTGGTGATCGGCAAGTCGCGGCCCGAGATCAAATGGTGATCCGAATTTGCGACTTACGACTTCGTTCTGCACCAAAAGTGCCGACCACAGACTAACAATTATTTTGCAAAGAATAATGCCATAAAAAAAATCCAATGACAAGGTGAATGCAGGATTTAGATTCCGAAGCGTGGAGAATAACTCAGCCTAACCCCCCCCAAAAAAAAACATATTGAAAAGACATATGGCCTCACCTTGATTCGAACAAGGAACTTCCTCAAATACAAATCAGTGCAGAAGAAGCATCAACAGAGGGCATGTTACCACTACACCATGAGGCCATGATGATCTTCAAATTAGTTGATGATGAGAAACTACCTTCATTTTGTCATCTATAGTTTGAACGAAAGTCACAAAGCCTACATCCCGCATAAATTGCTAGGAAAATACAAATAAGAACACACCAATGCGGGGATCTAGGTTCCGAAGCGTGGAGCATAACTCAGCCTAACCCCCCCACAAAAAAAAAAAAAAAAAGAAGCATACTGTTGAGACAAAAGGCCTCACCCTGATTCGAACAAGGGACTTCCTCAAATGCAAGCAATACAAGTAATTATCAACTGAAGATGTGTTACTGTTACACCATGAGGCCATGATGGAGTAACTGAGTTGGCTGGCAAACAGCAGACATTTTGTCATCTTTTAGTTTGAACAAAGTCACAAAGCCTCATCCTGTATAAATTGCAAGAAAAATACAAATAAGAACACACCAATGCGGGAATCTAAATTCTGAAGAGTGAGAAGAACTCAACCTAGCCCTCCAGAAAAAAAAAAGTTCAGCTAGAACGCGCATAACCTCACCTTGATTCGAACATGGGACTTCCTCCAACCAGAAAGGCTCCAGTATTAATAGAGGATGTGTTACCACTACACTATAAGGCCATGATAGATCCTGGAGCCATATTGGTAAAGCTGACATTTCGCTATCGAGTGTAATAGACGTGAATCTAAACAAAAAGTAGATTGCAAAGAAATATCATTGAGCACACGCGAATGCAGGGATTTAAATTCTGAAGCAGAACTCGGCGTAATAAAAAAGAAATAAAAACTGAGGGCAAATTTCACCATGGCCTCACCTTGATTCGAACAAGGGACTTCCTCAAACTCAGATTGCTGAACAATATCAACTGAAGATGTGTTACCACTACACCATGAGGCCATGCTGGAGTAACTGAGTTGACTGGTAAACAGCAGACACTTAGTCATTTATAGTTTGAACAAAAATCACAAAGGCTATACTACTTAGTGCACGGAAAATAGCAATTAAGACGCGCGAATGCGGGGATTTAGATTCTGAATAGTCGAGAACAACTTGGTCAAAACAAAGAAAAAAACAAAGAAAGAAAAAGCTCAACAGAGTATAAAAATGGCCTGGCCTTGATTCGAACAAGGGGATTCCTCGGAACAAAGAGAATACTGGGACGATCAGAGGATGTGTTACCGCTACACCACCAGGCCGTCGACAGTAGTTTGGTTGAGTCAAGTGTGGAGTGTTCTGGAATGCGAGTGCAGCGTTTTCTTTCTACGCCTGGGTGCAGTAGTTCAGCGGCGGCTGTCGCCAAGATGGCCAGGAATAAGTCGAGGAAGAATCGGTAGGAGTGGACCGAATGGATGGAGTACTGACGACAGCATTACCACAGCGCTGCCTCGGTGGCGCACCACGAGGCCGTCAAGATCGAAGGATAAGACTCAAAAATATTAACTCAGCTCAAGCTCGTTCCTGCGGCTTCGGACCGACGTCTCATTGATGTAGACCATAGGCGACGGGGACCGGGGTAAGACGGCGGGGATGAGAAGGGGATCGATAAGCGCGATAAACGCCGCCTTAAGCCCGCGGGAACAAACGGGGATGGACGTCATTGTCACACATGAGTCACAGCCGAGATTTATTGACGGAATAAACCGGAAGCATCTTTCTTTGCTTGTTATTTCTCGCTTTGACCGCGTCGATGAAGCACGCTCGATTCTACACTGCGCTGCCCCGCGTCGGTCGTGTCAGATCAAACTCTGCTTCTCGCGCCCTCTACACGAACCCCACAACCCTTCCACTTGGCTCTTTCTTCGATACACCCCCGCCCCCACCCCCAAATACCCGTCTTACAACACACCGTCTGCCCATCGAGGCCCGCGGTGAAGTCGAGGGTCCCAACCACGCTAATGGCAACGCCAACCCCCACGCCCCGCTCGCACTCGCCGCGCCCCACCCCCCAGCGAACCAGCACCCCCACCCCGCACAGCTCGCCCTCCTCTTCCCATACACCCCCGGCCCCGCGCCGAAACACGGGGTAGCACCGGCGACCGGGGGGACCCGCGCACAGCGCCGCCGCGGGCCGAGGTATACGCTCGACGTCGGCGCGTATGGCATTCCGAAGCGCGGCCATAGGGTGCGTGCGCTGCATACGCATGCGGAGGCGACGGACGCACCGCTGGCGGTGCAGGTCGGCGAGGACGCCTATTTTATCCGCGAGAACGCTATGGGAGTGGCGGATGGTGTGGGTGGATGGGCACGGGTGAAGCATCCAGGTGGGTGCTCTTACTTATTTCTGCTTTCTTTCTTTCTGTTTTTTTTTGGGGGGAACGGGGCAGGGATTGCGACCGCATTCTTTGCGCATCTCAGTGCCATCTAGCATTGTGTTGCTAGGTCGGCAGGCGACCCCCCGCCCACTTACATGTCTACCTTGATTTCTTTCTCTTTCTTTCCTGGGTCTTTCCTCCCGAAAAAATGCACCTCCTCGCGGATCTTGCATATTCGTGCGATGCATCGTCCTACGGAGGGCCACCTCCGATCCGACCCGCACTCCTGGCGGATCTTACATGTGCCGTTCTTTCTTGGGGCACTAGGCGGCGCAGGCGTATATGCCTCTGCGTCTGCCTAATATAGTTATTCTTCCTCCCTGCCAATTTCGCTGCCGCTGAAGACGGCATGTTGTGCTGGAGTGGGGGGGGGGAGTCCCCATATTTTTGCATACCCTCATAGCGCGTTGCTTCCCTTCCGATGCTAACCCCTCCTTGTTTCTTTCACAGCACCCCCCACAGGCCCGAGCGCCTCCGCCCTCTTCGCGCGCCGCCTCATGCACTTTTGCGCGGATGAGGTTGATCGGGCGTCCCACCTACCTGCGCAAGTCGCCTCGACCTCGCGACAGCAGCAGCAACAGCAGCCGGTGGTAACGCCCTGGCGTCCACCATCGCGATTCGCGCCGTACCCACCATCGGCATCAGCATCATCTCCACCGTCATCTTACGTGGGCCCCGCCTCCCTGCCCTCGACGTCCGCCTTCGCTTTCCCCTCTTCGTCGTCTTCGACAGCCGCGTACGAACCGTGGCAGACGGACTCGCCCTACGCCTCGTACGCGGGTGCGGGGTCCGCGTCGGCGTCGTACGCGGGGTCCTCGCGTGCGACGTTCCACGCCCCTCCCCCTCCCTCTTCTTCCTCGTCGTCGTACGCCGACTTTTCTCCGTGGAGCGAGCCCTCCTCCTCCTTCTCCTCCCCCTACGCGGAATACGACCAAGAATACGACTTCGACTACTCGCCCCCCGCGCCCGCGGACCTCCTCGCCGCGGAGCTGGACGAGCTGGCGGAGGGGCTGGACGTGTTGATGATATTGGAGCGGGCGTATGAGAGGACGTTGGGGGCGCATGTTGTGCCTGCGTCGTCTAATTCACAGGAGGGGGTTGCGCCGATACCGATACCGACACCGACAACGACGAAGCACCCGACACCCCCACCGGCGCCGGGGATGTGGCCCTTTGCACTGCCTACGCCAACGAAGACGAAGGCGCAAACGCAAACAGAAAGAGAGAAGGAGAAGACGATCCCCCTCCTCGCGGGGAGCAGTACCGCGCTCGTGGCGGTGTTGGATTACGTGCCCGCGGGGGAGGTGGTCGGGTTCGCGCTCGATGGTGCATCCGGTGCCACCACATCGAGTTCGACAACGCAAACCTCTAGTGCGCAGGCAGCGAGCGGTGGAGCGAATTCGAATCCGCAGACGAAGACGAGGACGAATCCGCATCCGAAACATACGACAACGAAAGCCGACTCCGGACGCGAGCAAGACCTCACCCCCGTCCTCAAGATCGCGCACGTGGGGGACTGCATGGGGATGCTCGTGCGCGGGGGGCGGTCGCGTGGCGGAGCGAGGAGATGTGGTGGCGGTGGAATACGCCGGTGCAGTTGAGTGCGGTGGGTGCGCGTGACTCGTCGACGCAGACTGCCGCGACACCAGCTGGTGGGTCGACCTCGACGAAGGTGGGGGCCGTGGTGTCGGCGGGGCGCGCGGGGTGGTGGGGCTCGACGTCTTCGAACGCAAGCACGAGCACAAACGCACGAACGGCTACAAGTGCATCGAGTGCAACCACAAGCACAAGCACGAGCACGCACGCGGAAATTACCCCCAGCTCCGCCGCGCACCTCTTCACGCTCCCCGTGCAGGCGGGCGATATTGTGATCCTCGCGAGCGACGGGCTGAGCGATAATTTGTGGGATGAGGATGTGTTGGAGGAGGTGGGGAGGGTGGGGCGGGCGTGGGCTGCTGCGTCTTCGTCGAATGTGGAGGGTTTGAATTCGAATTCGGGTGCGGGTGCGGGCTTGAGGGAGGATGGGAATGAGCGGGACGAGGGGGTGTTTGAGATCAGCGAGTTGGAGGAGGGGAGCACGAGCACGAGCACGAGCACGAGCAAGACAGCAACGGAGGCCGTGGACGGCGCGCGCCTGCGCCGCCGGACGCTCGCGGGGATGCTCAGCGAGGCGCTGTGTTCGCGCGCAAGGAGGGTGGCGACGCGCAGGGCGGGGAGGGAGAAGGGGAGGTCGTGTGCTGTGTCTGTGTCTCCTGCGTCCTCGTCGGTTTCGAGTTCTACCTCCGCGAGTTCCTCGGTGGTGGGATCGAGTTCGCTACCTGCGCCGCGTACATCAGCAGCGGAGGGAGCGGCGGCGTCGGCGATGGCGTCGGGCTCGCTCCCCTTGAGGGCAGAGGAAGCTGAAGATGAGGACGAGACGCCGTTTGCGCGGCGTGCGCGCGAGACGGGGAGGGTGTATCGTGGGGGGAAGAATGATGGTGAGTTTGATTTTTTGTGTACTTAGATCGGATGCTAACCATGACCTTATTTTTCTTACAGACATCTCAGTGATCGTCGCGGTCATCGCGCCCGCGGAGGAACAGCGCGGACGAGGACGGGGGCGGGGGCGCGTGGAGGCGGCGCGTGCGGCTGGGTCGTGAAGTCTCTCGGTCAACCCGTTCGGTGTGCGTTCCTCCTGGGCGGCCGAACGGACGAATGGGCGAACGCTCTCGGTATTTATGGGCTCCGGCGCCATACGCGTCTTCGTCTTCGTCTTCGACATACATGCATACGCTCCGACACCGACACGCCGCCCTCCGATATAGCCCATTCGATTTGGATACGGATACATCAACATCTCCACCCATGATCATATCCTACAACACGCGCGACTGGCTAGAACGATATGATACCTCTTCTGCTGGATATTGGTATTATATGCATGCATCCTAAAATTCCTCAATGGCCGATGCGATTGATACTTATTACATGCGATTCGACGCAGATTTGTGTACACTGTACAAATATAGTTTTGTGTATAGTAGAGAACAGAAATGTACAGTATGAATATGGACAATAGTACCGATTGGACAGGAAAGACGACTAAAAGTACACGGAGAAAAGATGGTCAAGGCGAAAATTCGGAGAAAGTGTGTGACGGTGCTCCGGTTCGCTCCGGTACGGCGTCCCGCTTGCCAAGTTACCATGATGGACTACTAGTAACACCGCGCCTGCGGTTTTACGCCTCTTCGACTTGCACTATCGATCGCCGTCGGAATCCCGTCGTCGAGGCCCGCTGCGGCGTTATCATTTATGGATGTCTGACCTTGTCTGACTGAGTGCACTGTGCTTGTGTCACTTAAGTACTTGGCATCAAGATTCAAGACGAGTTGGATGAATTCACACTGACGCCACCTCAGTGGCCTTCAGCGAGCTGTCATGGTCAACGGCCTGGTGGTGTAATGGTAACACACCCTCTACCGGTGAACGGATTAAATAGTGTTTATGAGGAGGTTCCTTGTTCGAGCCAAGGTCGGGCCGTTGATTTGTGGTGTACTTTTTTTTTTTTGTCCTAGCCCGGGCCGTCCGTTAGACTTGCCTCGTCACCCAAGAGGGCAAGCCATCCTCTTCCCAAGTAATTTTTAGCACTTGTGTAACACACTGAGTGGCAGTTTTATCTCAGACTTACAAATGTTTGGTTGAATTCTGATTCGCAATTTACGACACAAAACCAACTGTATTCAAAACATGTAAAGACAAGATAAAGAAAATATACTAATACAAGGAAATATTGGCCATAAACTCAATCACACTCCCAGGTGAATGAATGGGATCCAGCGCTCATATGCAACATTCTGAGCCTTCAGCTTATTTACTGCCATTTGCAATGCCTCCGCTGCATCACTGGCTTCAGCTTGTCCACCATTTCGGAAGAGATGAGAATACACAATTTCAGAAACCAGTGGTCCATCCGAGTCATTCATAGACCATAAGGTTCCAATAGCCCCTCGGAAACCAGCTGCAATAAATCCTCCACCCAAATGGAATGATTCATTCACTAGCACACTATCCCCCATGGCTGTCTGGCATGCAGCGAGGAACACAAACTGGGCATCAGAGAGTGGCATCTGGAGGATGGTGTCCAGCTCCAGACTTCCTCCATATAATTTGAGATAGCTTTGGGTAGGGTCAATCAAATCCTGTTTTCCATGGCAGGCCAGGTGAACCCAAGAACATGTCTGAAGTTGGTGGGTCACGGCATCCACTGTCGCTTTTGGTCCTTCAACACAGTCAATTTGTGCCTTTGGGATGATTGACAGAATTTTTTCAACCTCCTTCTCTACTCCCTTGAGATAATTCATTCTTCCACTACCAGTGTGCGTAACTCCAACAAGGCCAACTTTGGGCACAACATTGGATGTTTTCTTGTCATAAGCATCCAGAAGTGTTCCTAGTGTTGCTGTGTATGAATGGATGAATTGATCTGTAGGGGAGCATGCATGCAGAGGCAGTCCTGTAAATGCACCAGTTGGCAACCACCAGAGTCTGCCACTATAAATTTCATGCTATATTATGGATGTTAGCTTAGACAAATTCTAAGAGAGGAAACCATTTTCACTGACTGATTTTAAATGCTGAAAGACAGGAGAAACAATATGAGTCCAGAGCCAGAGTAGCATATCGGTGAAACACTCTGTGGTTGTTTTAGATGAGAACAATTCTTGCCGACCAAAGAGTCTTGTTGATGAAGATTCCCCTCTGGTTCTGACATTACAGCGCTGGAGCAATTCCTTGAGCAAGATTCTCTGTGATTCCAACAGTTCAAGTGTCACATCTGGAAGAGGAACATGGATTGGCTCTGAAGTTGGATTGGGAATTATAATTCCATCACAGCAGTCTTCATTACTGTTGAGAATTATAATAGGTCCTCCTTGTGCTGCCTCGCAAAGTGCTTGATATTTCTTTGCACACAAAAAGTCCTCAAAACCTGGCTGACCCCGAATATGATCAAGCAATTTATTCCTTTCAATGACAAGAGCCAGTGGATTGGCAGACTTTCTGCTATACAGCTCTGATGAGTAATTTTTCAACTTCTCAGCCTGCTCAGAAGGGAGTTTATCCACATCTGTCTTCAACTGCAACATTTGCTGGAAAATAGTAGCTAATCCTTGCTCCATGATCTCGACAGCAGAAGTCAGGTCACCCAGATCAATGCACATTTTTACGGCTGTTGAAGTGACCTGTCCAATATCAAGCCTGCGAATTGCATTGTGCTGCACATCAACAGAATGACCAATCCAAAGGATTTCAGGAAGCACTTTGAAGGCAGTCATGTAAGGAGGTAAACACTTGGAGGGATCAAATTCTGTTGCGAAAGAACCCCACTTTAGTGCTGCTGTCCAGAAATCTTCGGGATTTAACATAGGGGCCTTGAAAGAATTGCGGTAACAAATGTGGACCTTGGACAAATCACTGGGCTCCTTGAACTTGACATAATGCTCTTGGAATGACAAGGCAAGTTGCTGGAGACGATCTGCTTGAGCAGGATGCCCTTCTGGTGTCAAGTCTACTGCTTCTTGGTCATACTTCAGAGCAGCTTTGAGATCCTTCTCATCTCCCAATTTGGTATATCGATGTGAGAAAGATCGAGCCAGATTTTGCAGACGCTCTGCCTTGTCAGCATGCCCCTTTGGTGTCAGATCAACAGCTTCTTGGAACTTCTGCAATGCAGCCTCAAGATCAGTCAGATTTTCTGACCTCAGATACCGATCCCGAAAAGACATAGCCAGGCTTTGTAGGCGTCCAGCTCTGCCAGGTCCTTCTGGGGTTAGATCTAATGCTTCTTGATCATTCCTCAGTGCAGCCTCAAGATCCTTTAATTCTTTCAGTCTCTTATATCGATCTGAGAATGCTACAGAAAGACTCTGCAGGTATCCTGCTCTATCAGGATGCTCTTTGGGTATGAGATCTACTGCTTCTTGCAATTTTGGCAGTGCAGTCTCTAGATCTTTCAAGTCTCCAAGCCTCTGATAGCGATCTCGTAATGCCAGTGCAAAACTTTGCAGGTACCTTGCCCTATCGGGATGACCTTGTGGAGTAAGATCCAACACTTCTTGGGATTTCTCCAGGGCAGTTTGGAGGTCTCCTAATTCTGCCAACCTTTGAAATCGATCTCGAACAGATACAGCAAGTTGTTGCAAATAGGCTGCTCTATCAGAATCTCCTTCTGAAGTTAGATCTAGTGCTTCTCGGTCTTTCTGTAGTGCAGCCTCCAGGTCAGCCACTTGTCCCAACCTTTGATATTGATGTGCAAGTGACACAGCAATATTTCTCAGACACCCTGCCCTATCTGGGCCCCCCTCTGGCAAGAGAGACAGTGCTTCTTGCAGTCTCTGAAAACTAGCCTCCAGATCCTCCAGGTCTTCCAGCCTTTTGTATTTATCCCCCAAACATGCAGCAAGGTTTTGGAGATGCTCTGCCCTCTTAGGAGCATCATCAGTGGGGGTAAGCTCCACTGCTTCTTGCAAGTGCTGTAAAGCAGCCTCATGGTCTGCTAATTGTCCTAGTCTTTGATATCGATTCCGAAAAGATATGCCAAGGCTCTGAAGACGAGCTGCTCGATCAAAATCATCTTTTGGAGTCAGGTCTACTGCTTCCTGGTCCTTCTGCAATGCAATCTCAAGATCCTTCAATTCACCCAACCTCTGGTACCTATCTGTGAATGCTAGAGCAAGATTTTGTAAATGCCCAGCTCGATAGGGTTCTTGTGGGGTGAGATCTACAGCTTGCTGAAAGTTCTGTAATGCAGCTTCAAGATCCTTCAACTCTCCTAGTCTTTTGTATCGCTTTCTAAAAGACATGGCAAGACCTTTGAACCGGCGAGCTATATCGTGGTCCTCAGGCAGGGGTAACTCTACTGCTTCTTGAAGATGTTCCAGAGCAGCCTCGAGATCTGTGATCTCTCCCAAAGTTTGATATCGATCTGTGAATGAAATAGCAAGATTTTCCAAGCGGTTTGCTCTATCGGGATGTTCTTTTGGAGTCAGTTGGACTGCTTGTTGGTCATTCTGCAGGGCAGCCTCAAGATCTTCCAGTTCTCCCAACTTTTGATATCGAGCTGTGAATGCCACTGCCAGGTTTGCCAAACATTCAGCCCTTTCAGGCCCGGGGTGACCCTGACTGAGGTCCACAGCTGTTTGGAAGTTCTGTAAAGAAGCCTCGAGATCATCCAAGTCCTCTGAATCATTATATTTGTCTCCATACATTATTCCCAATATTTGTTGATATCTGAGAAAATCTGGATGTTCTCGAGGTGTCTGTTGAACAAGTTGCTGGATTCTTTCTATCATGTCTGAGCTTCCATCCTAGGAACATGATTTCAGCCTTTTGTTAGTGAATTCACTATGCACTCACTCCAAATATCGTAAAAATCTGGCTGTCTGTCGAGCCAGAGTCAGTGACCCACTCATCATCAGAGCCTTCAGACATTGGGTCCTGTCTTCTATCAGCCAGGCTCATATGCAGAAGTAAATTCTCCCTACAGATTGTGCAGACATCTGAACAGTGTTACGAAGGTGTTACTCGAAGGGTGGAAGAAAGAAGAAGAGATGGATATCACCCTTTATATACATAGCATCCACCTGATCAAAAGAGTCACGAGTCAATTCCCACACCCCTCAGTGTTTTCAGGAGTCCAATGACTTGTCTGCCCAAAAATTTTGTCCATTTCCACGGCCGCAGGAGTTAAGAAAGAGGCTTAAGAACATGGGCCGGCCGCCATTGATATTTGTTGAAAAATGAGTTGAAGTTTGAAAAGAATAATTTATAATTTGTGTTCGCACCGGGTTCGCACCTTCAGATAGAACGAGGACTCGGAACAATGGATTTTCTTCATTCAACGAGAACTGGGAGTATGGTAAACCCTGGCAGCAAATGTGTTTTCAGGGAAATTCGGATGCAGGGTGTATGTAATTTTATCAGGTTGTGGTAAGGAATTTTGTGACTCAGGATTGAGGCCTCGAGGCTCTAACATTCAGAAATTATCGTCATTGCTTGTACAACATGAATTGAACCAAAGTTGCGTCAGATGTTCAATTTTTAAACGCTTGGTGGCCAATCCTCGACAAGAAAAAATCAGGATTACTCAGTGCTGCCAATAACACTTAAATTCTGTACCATGAGTTAAATGATCCTTTCGTTCTGGTATGTTGTAAGTGTGTATATGCCATATGCACATCCTTCTGTTCGGTTATCCGTGACCGAACACACGAGTCAGAAGGCAAAGAGGACACCAGGTTCAACCGTTACTGAAAAATGATTTAATTATGGTCGGGAAGTACAACGATACTGGCAGGACCTGCTAATGGACGATGGAAGGGAAAGCAGCAGAATACGAAAGTATGTTTCGCCACCGGGATACGGGCGAACAATCATCCCAAGTCATAAATTCTCCGCAGCAACGCTGTGCGAAAGGTACTTGTCGACATTGGTTGTAACCCTTGGGTCCACCTTACCCAATATGTCCACCAGTTCGTCCCTGCGACAAAAAATTAATTCTGAATACATAACAATCTTCCAGGGAACCAGACGAACCAGAGGCGATCCTGTACCTTGGCGCCTTGTGCGCTGAGGACGTAATCGCTGACCTCCTGCACTTCACAACCAGCTGAAAACTCGCCCCGAAGTTTATCGGGCTGATCTGGATATGCCAGTGCCGCCCATACGAGCCGCCGGCTGCCCACCTCCGTCGTGAATGCGAGGGCCCGTTCCATGAGATAATCGAACACAGCCCTGACACCCGTCAAGCCGCGCCGCAATTCAGAGTAACAGTAGCCCGGATCAACAGCGTGCACTATGAGGGGCGTGGAGGACGGGAGGCGCGCGCTCAAAGCGCGGACGAAGAAGACGTTGAGGACTGAAGAGTTTGATTAATTAACAGCCGGGCGGAACCGAGTATTGAACCGTACGCTTGGTGAGTGGATATCTATCCCCCATGATCCTGGAGGTACGTCAATTGAGCTGCTTTAGGTATGACAACGAGATGCATACTTCGTTGTACAATATTCTGCGCTTCCAATCGTCTTGAGTATATCCGGATTCTCGGCCACGCGTTTGTCGATCTCAGACCAGTAATGCATTCCGCTCGAAACGACTACGAGCCTGGGGACCGTGGAATGTTGTTCGGCCGTTTTGATCATCGCTGGAAGGAGGAGAAAGGCCAAGAGCGGGGTGGAGAGACAATTGACCTGGAGACTAGTACACTATATTAGTACTGCCACAATGGGGGAATGGAAGAACTAACGAGGCCTCCCACCCATCCTTGGTAGCGTCGTAATCGAAAGTCGCGAGTGCCGCATTCTCGACGAGGATATCGAGACGGCCCCCATCGCGCTCGAATTTATCTGCAAATTGCTTGACAGATTCGAAATCGGCAAGATCGATGATCCACAACTCCGCCTTCGCGTAGCCCGTGGCGGCTTTCAATCCTGACACGGGAAATAATAAGACAGCCGGGGCCAAAACATATGCTATAACGTACTGTCCACTGCAGCCTGTCCCTTGCTTTGGCTTCGGCAGGCGAGGATGAGCCGTCCCGGATTCATCGTTGCAAAGTGCTTTGTCGCCTCAAATCCGAGACCAGTGTTCGCTCCCAGAACGACGACCGTTTTCCCGGTGAGATCAGCTTTGACCACAGGCTTCTGCCTGCTCCATTGGCTCGCGATGAAATTCCAAAGTCCGGGACGCATGGCGGTTGAAAAGAAAACAGTCGCGAGGGAAGAACAGCGTAGAGGCCATTTTAAAGCCGGTGAACTATCAAAGAACGACAAGGGAAGCCGCGCTGACGCGTCAGCTGTTGCGATCGTTCATGCTTCCCAACTTCTTCCCATTAACGTGAGCGAGGACATATTGGTCAGCCCACAAGAGAAGGTATACAGCGGGGTTGCAGCGGGGTGCGAAGAAATGTAGCCCAAAAAAAATCTGTCAAGCTCGCACGTTCTGTAAGTTGTAATTCATGGTTCTCACGGAAGGAAGGAAGGAAGGAGGTGGATTTTGACAGATTGTTATGCCCCGAAAGAAATCCATGTTATTCTGCACAACGTGTGCTCGACAAAAAGTGATGTGGCCAAGAATATAATATGAGGCCGTCACAAGTACCCTAAAGCAGGAGAGACGCCAACAAACGCTGCGAGTAAGGTAAAAGATGCCTCCGTTCTCGTCTTGTACCCAAAGAGTCAGCAATTCCGAGTTTCCAACAATGTGCTCGCGTACCAGCGCTCCGTCTTCCCACTGCTCATGGGCGTCGAGCGGGATATCGAACGCGTTACACCGTCCTTGGAGCGTAGAAAGAGGAAGCGAGGTCGAATACACCGAGTCAGGGATTGCAGACACCGGCGATGGAACATACATTCTGTCGGCCAAAAGAGAGGAAGGAAAGAACGCCAGTAATAAAAATGCGAGCAGGGACGATCTGTGTATCAGCAACAGGTCCACGAGAATGAGGGCCGGGAGGCTAGACAACACAACAAAAAAACCTAGAGGTCTGGCAATGCATCCAGAGACGTCCAAAGGGTACGAGACCACAGTCTCCGAAGAAGAGGAAGAACAACACAAGAAAAAGTAGCGGCACACCTGGATGCTTCACTCTAGCCCATCCACCCACACCATCCCATACCCACAGCGTTCTCACGGATAAAGTATGCGTCCTCGCCCGCCTGCACCGCGAGCGGTGCGTCCGTCGCCTCCGCATGAGTATGCAGCGCCCGCACCCTATGCCCGCGCTTCGGAATACCATACGCGCCGACGTCGAGTGTATACCTCGGCCCGCGGCGGCGCTGTGCGCGAGAACTGCCGGTCGACGGTGCTACCCCATGTTTCGGGGCGGGGCCGGGGGTGTAGGGGAAGAGGAGGGCGAGCTGTGCGGGGTGGGGGTGCTGGTTCGCTGGGGGGTGGGGCGCAGCGAGTGCGAGCGGGGCGTGGGGGTTGGCGTTGCCGTTAGCGTTGTTGGGACCCTCGACTTCGCCGCGGGCCCCGATGGGCAGACGGTGAGTTGTAAGGCGAGTATTTGGGGGTGGTGGAGGGGGAGTATCGAAGAACGAGCCAAGAGGGAGGGTTGTTGGGTTTGTGTAGAGGGCGCGAGAGGCTGAATTGGATCTGACACGGCCGACGCGGGGCAGCGCAGTGTAGAATCGAGCGTGCTTCATTGACGCGGTCAAAGCGAGAAATAACAAGCAAAGAAAGATACTTCCGGTTTACTCCGTCAATAAATCTCGGGTGTGACTCGTGTGACAATGACGTCCCCTTCTCATCCCCGCCGTCCTACCCCGTCGGTGTTGTTTGTCAGGTCGGCCCGAAGCGGCCACTGTGGAACTCGACGCCGCATGAGCAGACTTGAGCTGAGCATATAGTTTAATGTTGGACTATCCTTGACGGCCTCGTGGTGCGCCACCGAGGCAGCGCTGTGGTAATGCTGTCGTCAGTACCTCAATTTCCCTGCACTCGGACCACTCCTACCGATTCTTCCTCGACTTATCCCTGGCCATCTTGGCGACAGCCGCCGCTGAACTACTGCACCCAGGCGTAGAAGGAAAACGTTGCACCCGCATTCTGGCAGAACACTCCACACTTTACTCAACCGAACCACTGCCGAGGGCCTGGTGGTGTAGCAGTAACACATCCTCTAGTATTACTCCAGAAGTCCTCTTCCGTTCCGAGGAATTTCCTTGTTCGAATCAAGGCCAGGCCATTTTTATACTGTATTGAGCTTTTTCTTTCTTTGTTTTTTTCTTTGTTTTGACCAAGTTGTTCTCGACTCTTCAGAATCTAAATCCCCGCATTCGCGCGTCTTAAATGGTATTCTCCGTACACTAAGTAGTATAGCCTTTGTAGTTTTCCTTCAAACTATAGATGACGAAATGTCTGGTGTTTACCAGTCAACTCAGTTATTCTATCAATGGCCTCATGGTGTAACGGTAACACATCTTCAGTTGATATTGTTCAGCAGTTTGAGCAGGTCCCTTGTTCGAATCAAGGTGAGGCTATTCACGTAGTTGTTGGGATTTTTTTTTTTCCGGTTATTCCAAGTTCTTCAGAATTTGATTCTAAATCCCTGCACTGGCACTCGCGTGTGCTCATTGATATTTTCCTTGCAATCAATCTACTCTTTGTTTATATTCACGTCTATTACACTCAATAGCGAAATGTCAACCTTGTCAATATGATGATCTGGAAAAAAACTTCGATTCGGGTCCGTACCACCATCATGCCAACCTGCAAAGAGACGATTGGCGACCACGAGCACTGCTCGGAGGCACAGCGGACTCAGCAGTAGCACCAGAGACACAGTCCAATCGTACTTGACACACATGTGGCCAATCTGCCCACTGTCACCGGCGTCACCTTAGATTTGAAAATCCTACACTTTCTTGCGAAGAACGGTCGAGCATTGCCAGCCGTCGAAGCACAGAGCGACAGTGGGACTCCCAATGCGCGTCTCTGTCTTTCTGCGACGCTGAAAGCTCAAATCCTTATCTCGGCCGCGTCTTCGGGCTGTATCGGACGGCGAGCAGCAATGTCTTACTTCACCTCCTGAATCACAGCCCTACCCCTGCCTCTGCCCCTGTCTGGGGCTTGGAATAAGTCATATGCGGAAAACTAGTCCCAAGGGGCGCAACTTGAAGCGTAATCTTCGGGGTAGTCTGACTTGAGCTTGTCCCTCGAGCAAAACACCAGCCTAGTCGACTTGCAAAGCTTCGGCACCCATGCATTGACTGCCGGCGCCAATATTCACATGTTCACATTGCACAATAATTCACTAGATGTCGACGTTTACTTCATGGGCTCTATCACACTGTTGCGGCACATATCGCTTCTACGTATCTCCCGTCTCAAATTGCCCAACAATGGATGAAGAAGAGACCTGTGTTCTAACGCATGCCGCAGCACAGTGGGACTTTCTTCGTAGAGCTTCTCAGCAACATGTGCGTGATATTGGTTCACGTCCATCTACATCGACATTCTTGAAAGGCACTATGCCATGAAAACGTCCAAAACAAGAGGAACCAGCAATACAATTCTTAGCCTAAAGCAGAGCAACCACTCCTGCCCATGCGAGGAAGACTCGGACTTTACATGGCTTCATTTGATTGCTTGCCCATCCCCGATGCGAACCTGTCTGAAACCGACGTGTCTTCTGTCGGTTTCTCGGCCATATTCCGCACCCTATCCTTGCAGTCCTATCCGCGGAAATGACATACATCAAGAGCCGGCAAGTGATCACCGTACCCTGCCAGCCACAGGGACGTGACTTCGCACAAGCAGGCTCTGTAAATTCTGCCGGGGAGGTGACAACGATGAAGTTCACGCATTCTTTGACTGTACTGCTGATTCACAACTGGTTGAACCCAGATCCATGTTCCCTGAGACACTGAAAATCTGTGACTCGACTAGGTTGGATCCTGCGTGCACAAAGATCTCGAGTTACGACTTCATGCTGAAGCTCGTTCCTTCGAGGAAAGCGGTACAAGTTTGCGAAACACATCTTCCTCATTCTTCGTCTTTTCAATGAGACCCCCAGTGGTTTTTACGACTCGCGGTTGACATACATTCCACCCGTCTTCTAAGCTCTCTTCGTGAGAGGTCTATTACCTAAGGTAGATAGGTTTTCACAGCGAAAGAGCCGTTGACATCTGTAGCATACAATCTGGACGTGTTGTATGTCGGTACAGAGCCTGCTTGTTCCTTATTGGGACCACCGCAGTAATACATCCTTCCTTCCTTCCTTCCTTCCTTCCTGGCATTCAACATGGTCTCATGGTGTAGCGGTAACACATCCTGAATTGGTTTTTGATGACTAATAGGGTGTGAGGAAGTCCCTTGTTCGAATCAAGGTCAGGCCATTCATGAGTGCGTGAATTTTTTTTTTTTTTTTTTTTGGGGGGGGGGGGCGGTGAGGGTAGGCTGAGTTTTCCTTCACTCCTCTTCAGAGCCTAGATCCCCCGCATTGGTGTGTTCTTATTTGTATTTTGCTTGCAATTTATGCAGGATGAGGCTTTGTGACTTTTGTGCAAACTAAAAGATGACAGAATGTCAGCTCCCTTGCAGGATTGATCATGGCCTTGTGGTGTAGTGGTAACATCCTCAATTGATTGCTCCAAAAATTGATCAAGTGTGAGGAAGTCCCTTGTTCGAATCAAGGTGAGGCCATTCAGGAGCACGTTTAAAGTTTTTGTTTCTTTTTTGTTACGCCGAGTTCTTCAGAATTTAAATCCCTGCGTTCGCGTGTGCTCATTGATATTTCCTTGCAATCTACTTTTTGTTTAGATTCACGTCTATTACACTCGATAGCGAAATCCCAATCCATCGCGGCCTCGTGGTGTAGTGGTAACACATCTTCAATTAATCCTCCACAATTGTCTGATATTTGAGGAAGTCCCTTGTTCGAATCAAGGCAAGGTCATGCGCGTTGTAGCTGAATTTTCTTTTTTTTTGGAGGGCTAGGTTGAGTTCTTTTCACTCTCCAGAGCCTAGATCCCCACATTGGCGTGTTCTTATTTGTATTTTCCTTGCAATTTATACAAGTCCGAGGCTTTGTGATTTTCGTGCAAACTATAGAAGGTGAAATGTCAGCTGCTCGCCAGCAAGGTCTGTTGTGGCCTTGTGGTGTAGCGGTAACATGTCCTCTACTAATGTCTCAAAGAAATATTGCGCTGAGGAAGTCCCTTGTTCGAATCAAGGTGAGGCCATTCTTGAGATGTTTGTTCATTTTTTTTTGTGTTAGGGTTCAGAATCACGATAGCAAAATGGCAGTTGCTTGTCAATGACTCTGAGATCTATCATGATCTTGTGGTGTAGCGGTAACATGTCCTCTACTACTACTGTCATAGTATTCTTTAGAGGAAATCCCTTGTTCGAATCAAGGTGAGGTCATTGGCGTGCCAGTTGAACTTTTTTTTTCGGTTATGCTGAGTTCTTCAGAATATTAATCTCGCGACGTGCGCATTGGTATTTTCCTCGCAATTTACCTGTACTCGGGCCACGGACATAGTATTCTTGATGATTTTCTTTCCAACTATAGATGACGAAACAAGGGTTATCTTAATCATCAGCTGTTCCATCATGGCCTCATGGTGTAGTGGTAATACGTCCTCTGTTAATGATTGACCAATCATCACGTATTCCCGAGGAAGTCCCTTGTTCGAATCAAGGTGGGGCCATGGTCCATCCCTTCCGTTTTTTTTAAAAAAAAAGAATTGTGGACTATCCTTCTTCTTCACAGCGGGCCAGTGATGAGCCGCGGATACGGCCAGGCGTGGAAACACAGTTTATTTTCCAATTTAAGACTATAATATATTCTATAGCCGCCTATACATTCCATCTCTTACAAAGGGTTAATGCAGAGGTCCGGGCAGTTAACTAGGAGACAGTAGCGTGTGGTACAAGCCCATGTTCTGTTATATTCTGACAGTGTTACGCACTGGAGGGATATTCGCAACATAAGCTTATACTTAAACTCGATCTTCTTACCGGTCCACACGGCCTGGGAAGACGGGGCGTTCCCTCTAATCAAGGGCATATTAAAATCCATCTAAAGACGTGGTTGCAGGACGTGGACAGCGATGGGATATCTGCGCTACACAACGAGAGCAGGAAATCACGAGGGTCAATTGTTAACGGGAATGTCCGTACCAACAAAGGCGGCAGTATGAAGCCGGCGGCAAGGGAAAGTCGTAATGATGACAAAGTGTTCATCATATAAAAGGGGACGTCTACCAACGGCTTAACGGCAGTAAGCTTAACCGAGAATGTGGCAGTGCACGGATCACTGAGGATACGCGCCGCTTGGACCACGTCAGTTCAATGGACCGAGGAGTCCGAATTGACTCAGGAAATAGTGGACGTATTGGTAGAACAATGGGACCGCAGTTGTGGGTCCATGATTAATAAGACGGCAGGGAGTGCCGAAGGGTTACGAATCCTGCCAGGCTCCACAATATTATGAATCTTAGAATTTTACTTTTATATTATCTCGATCCGGTTCAGTTTGTATATTAAATAAGTGTAGACGTACGTGTTCCTTCTACTTTAGGATAGGTGTACCGTTGTTCCGGTTTTACATTGTCTGTCTAAATGGGGTAGCTAGGAGTAGTATAAATTAGCAGCGAGATATACGGTTAAGCCAGTGGATCGTACCCTTCTTGTTAGACGCACGGCTAGACAGCACGTGGACGTTAGAAGAAGTTTGCAATCCGTTCGGAATACACCGGGTATCATAGATATCTTTGTATCTCTACGTTTGAGAACCAAGTTATATTGTTGGCTATAAGCTTTTGTGTGATTGTACGGAAATCGCGTGTGAAACGACATCAAGCGTGTTTTACGGAAGCCTACGGACAAGGATTATAACTGTGTCGTTAAGACAAGTCGTTTTGAACGTTAGAACAAGGAGCAATTGAAATCTAGTTCGTTAAAGAACCTTCGGTGTAAACCACCAACAAATTGTGATTAAAACCAACTCTTTCCGAGACTATTGGAATCGCAGAAGCGACTAGTGGGACTTGTAAAGCATCTGGGACATAAGCTTTTAAAAAGCCAACTTCATAGATATATCTGTTATTGCAGCAACCTAATACTTGGTTGGAACCCCGAACTTGCACGTTGGAATCGGTGACTAGAATTGTGTGTTTGGACTGGAGATTAATTGGATACGTCCAGTTGATTTATAGTAAAAACCTCATACCTGGCCGCGTCGAAACCAAGCGTATCACCGGGGTTGAGTTTTAACGACGACCTCGTCGTGCGGTGACAGGTCCTCTAATATTAATTACGACACAGACAACTTCTTTATCAGGGAGGCCCTGGTTCAAATTGGGTGGGGCCCAACATTGTGTCTGTTTCTTTTCTCTCGCTTCTTGGCCGCCCACGAGATCGTCAATAAAAGTAGCCATAAGCACTACGGTAGGGGTGGCTCGGGATTAGGTATGGCCATGACAGAAATAAGCCAATAACTTACTGCTAGTGTACGTATCCTGGCCCAAGGTCATATAAGCATGAGAACAACATTCTCTAAATAGCGGTAACACCCGACTCCGAGATACACCCGGACAGAAAAAGAAAAAAATGTAGGGATTCGTATGCTGGGAATCGAACCCAGGTATCAGCCCGCTGTGACAGATGCACATATTCGGCTTCTATCGCAAGCGGGCGTGCACCATGCACCGGGTCCGAGTTGTCCTCACAGCTACGCAAATTGGGATGTCGTACTTCCCTGTTTGAATCGGGACAGGCCAGACCCTTCCTTGGTCGGTTAAACACCCCTATTTTTATTTTCCGTAGCGCGGGCCTCTCGATGATCGCCAGGATGCTGAATACACCAAAATGTACCAACTCCAGCCCAGGCCATCCCCGAATCTCCGCGCACTCAGGCTGAGCCCTGGTGATATCAAGATTGTTCTAATACTTTGTTCTACATTATAATGAGCCCTGTACCCTCGCTGAGCGCGGCAGAGAGTTGAACCAAGGTCACGTGTTTCATGTTGAAATAATAACAATAATCAAACTTGAAGCGCAAGCCATTATTTAGGGGTGCAATTCTTCCGTCGTTGGGGTCGAAAAAATACGATCTGTATTGGCCGAGGTCGACAGGAAAAACTAGGTTTTTTACTTCGGGAGTTGCGTCTCATTGTCAGCTTTGCTGACATTATGTTCGCATGAATATTCGACTCCTTCGTTCCCTCCATGGCCTTCAAATATGGAAGATTGCCTGTTCTATATCGACTGCGGCAAGACTTACAATTCTGGAGGAGGGAAAAATGGGGGAAAAAACGAAAACCAGAGGCCGATCATACGACGAGATCTGCCACCTTTCAGATTCAGACAAGCCAAGTCATATTAGTATTAATGATAGCCATATAATTGGGGGGACAGCCCTCTCTGAAACGGAGGGAGTCAGAGCGTCGCTGGATATTAGCGTCGAAGTACAGAAAATGCCAGCATAGAAATGGCTATGCATGTCACTGCAATCATGGGAATGCCTATGCTATGTCCTTCCCGCATCCATATAAACACCAATATCTGGACGAACAGAAAGAATATCCCCAAGAACACATATGTCAGCCCTTTAGCATATTTAATATTCGTGAATCGTCACAGAAAGCTATAAACCATGTCACTCACATTGCCAGAAAACGTATTTGAAAGATTTGCGAGCACCATAGTCCAGAAGCAAGTCTAGGTTTCGGATGTTGCGATAGAAACCTTGTCGAGCCGTTCGTGACATGCCAGCCCCGTTAAATTCAATATCCCCGAGATGGTCAATCAGGGCAAAAGATGCGATCGTTGCAAGAGCATTGAACATCATGGCGGCGTAAGACGAAACGAGGAGGAGGGACATGGCGGATCCCGTCCTCAGCGAACAAGTGGATGCAGAGGATGGTGTGAATTCAGCGGATGTGATGGACCCGAGAAGCTGCGTAGCCGTCCCCGCGAAGAGAGCTGTCTATTCAAGTGAGCGGTGAGCCGAGTTTAGGTTGGAACTAAATTTTAGCTCACTACAACTGCTGCGGCATTAACTGATTGTGTCCAGGCATTGATCTGAGATTTTACAAGAGGTGGATGCTCATCTAATCAACCTGGTTGAGTAAATTAGGAGCTTGGAACGGTGCACAGCGTACATGTTATGTCCGTCATTATGTCGCGAGGGCTAAGAGCTAGGTACCTTGAATGGAAATGCTCAGAATGGCGACAAGAAACCTACGGTCCATAGGTTGACCGCGCTCCGCATGGTTGTAAGCATTGCCGAAGGTTGAAGTGGATGTAGCCATTTGTATGTAGAAAGGGCTTGAGGAAAGGTATTGGGTCTAGTATTCAGTGCTCTGTCATTTTGCTTGCCATGTCACGGTTTTTGTACGAAGGCCATCCTCCTATATTTAGCTGGTGAACATGCTTGGAACACGCGCATTTAATTTACCACGTTGAAATAGCCTTCTATGTTCCTTTGGGTTGTTAACACAGCGACGGCGTTTTGTAGTCCTTGGACAGCATTCGGATAGCCTTGTACAACTTTACAGTCCTTTACAGCTGGTTTTACCTCTAAGTATAATGTATACGGCCCAGGGCGATGTTTCTTTAGCCGCCATTTTCAAGTTCCCCCTTGTTCGCTGCGAGTTCAGAGTTCAAGATTCAGTTCAGCCCGCCATACAGGTGCACAGCATCCACGTGTTGTACGGCCTCCAAACGCTGGTCAAGAACCCGTTCGAGAAAGCCTAAATTTAAAATATTCACAGCTGTAAAGGAAACCAGAGCCAGCAGAAGTTCGCTTGCAGTTCATTCCGAGCGTCGAGGGTGCCTGCAGAAGTAAAAGCAAACTGGAGATGGAAGGAGAGCAAAAGTCGGACCTCGGCCCGATGATTGATCGCGGAGTTTGAAACTGGGTCTGCCGCCGAAGGAAGTAGCGCCGACAAAGCACAGAATAAGTAAGAGCATATGTCTTCCAAAAAAATCGATTAGGAGTTGGACTGTGCGCTGGGAAACTTGTTCGCGTTCAGTCGTATAGGAAGTACGTATGAGCTTTCGCCTTGTGAACTCTTGCCTTTTTTTCATTTTTTGGGTCGGGGGCGTTTCATGCAATTAGTCCTGGTCCCAGGATCCAGGGATAATAATTGCGTGTTGGTCCTTGAATTCAAAACATCAAGTTCAAAACTTCGGAAAAGAACACAACTTTGGTGTGAGATCTCAGACTGTATATGTGCAACGAAAGACAAGGGAGATCGCACAAGTTATCCAGGCCTTCTTAAAGTTCATCCTACCCACAAGTCTATTTACTGTACTATTAAATTCAATTCGTCAAAGGGTGTGACGCGTGACCCGAAATATCATTTCGTCAATTCATCGAAGGGTCCCCAGTTGCGTGACAACCCCTGGAAACATTC